AGATGCTAGGGTCGGAAGAGACATCAACAGATCATTGAGTCCGACCCCCTGCCTGGGCAGAAAAGAGAGCTGGGGGGTCAGACAGGGACTCGTGAATTCACGCTCTGGCTGCAGCCTTGGGCAACTGCCTACTTAACTGCCCTCTGTCCCAATGGTTCCCCATTAGTCAAACTATCTTACCGCAGTTTTGTGACAATGAATTACCATCTGATCGATAATGCAGGATAGAATGACTGGGCTGAGAGACCTCTTCATCTCATCTGGAGTCTCATACCATATCCAGAACCTGGTACTTTTGGAAGTTGGGATGAATCTGAGAAACAACATTTTTGCGTTGGCTGTTTAACATGTAGCAAGGCTCCTTGGGACAACCACAAGCAAAGAGAGTTGATTTTTAAGAGGGAAAAGGAGCATGGGGGTGGGTGTATGTGTGTCTTGGGTGGTGGGGGGAGGTGATTTCAGGATGTTTGTGTGTATGAAGTGGCTAAAAATCTCTCAGATGCTGCTAGCCTTTATAGAGGCCAAAGTGAGTAGGTCTGAAAAAGGCTGGTCTGACCTGGCTAAGGAGCATTTACATGAAGGAAAAATATAACACATGGGAAGAAAGCATTTCAAAAGCTGCTGTGTGTAAGGAGGGGCTCATCCTTCAAGTTCCTTTCCCAGTACACATACACTTGGTGTCATTTGCATAGGAAGCACGTACCCTGGATTTATGTACATCCACTTGCTTAAGAGCAGGATCCCGCCGTGGCAGTATGCTATGTCTGCAAGGAAATCACAGCCATGGAGCTTATAATATTCAGCTGGTTCCCATAACCCCTGCCCATCTGAGGTTTAATATTAGAACTATTTTTCACATTGAAACCGAAATAGTACAAAATATGGGCCTGCTGTAATTGTTGTTAGATTATGTGTCACCGTGATAAGATGTAACAAATATTTTCCTACCCACCAGGGCCCGTTTCCCTGCGTGTAATGGATGGAGAAACTTCTCATAGTCTGCAGGCAATCGGTCGTAAAAACTTCGCTCTGAAGATTAATGCAATAAGCATAGCCCTGCTGCAAAGTGGAAAGAGCAGAATTAAAATAATTTTTTGCTTTTCCACATTTAATAGTAAAACTAGGCCTGCAGCGCTGGAAATAGTCTTTGCTACCACAGCCTTCCCGCCTCACACAAACCATGAGTGTTTTGATTCTTGATGGAAAAAAAATAAATGGGCCCCTTAGTCAAAGCATTAGTAAGTGGTGCAGTCAGTCTTCCAACAGAACTATTTTTATCAGAAATATGAAGCCTATTTTCATGGGCAGAGCTTTGACACCAATAAGTCTGTTGGACGTCACTTAATAGACCAGATAAACATCCTCTTACCATTTAGTGTGCAAGGATTTTCCCTTTATATCATTGGTTTATGTCTTTCCCAGACATTTTATGGCATATGGAGATTGTTTTCCAGACCTGGTGCATAGTAAGAGCAGAGATGGGTTTACTTGATGTCGTACAGATGTTTAATCTCATTATCCGCTGCAGAATTTATCCAGGTTTTTTTTGTTATAGAGGTGCTTGACTGGCTGTGTAGTGGTTGGTAATAAGAGCCTGGCTGGAAAGATTCTGCAGGCGATTCCATAACTGGCCGTTACAGGGATTCTTGCAACTTACCGAGAGACATTGGGACCAGCCATTGTCAGAGGCAGGACACTGGACTAGCTAGATCCCTTGTCCAGGCTGGTGATGATGGTTGTATACAATGAGTCCAAATTTTCTTGAATTCTGGGAAAACATGAATTCTAGGGAGATTTCTGGTGCTTCCCTCCCATGTATATTTAAGGGCACTTTAAATTCCTGTCTTCCTGCAAAAGCTCCCCTCTGCCAGTTCTGCCCCCCGGGATCCAAGTATAGAACCTCATTCCTCCGCTGCTCCAGCAACCCTGGGTGCCAAGAGAAATCCCTTTTTCCTCAGGTTTTTGCCTGACTTTCAAGGGCTGGTGAGCTATTCAGTTCAGGTGTGGGGGAGGTTTGTTGTTGTACAAGTTGTGGAAAATATTTCTTTCCATTACATTTTGAATTTGCATAAAGAGGGTTTTATAGAGTAAAAATATCAAGTTTGCAAGAAGAGAAATGAATTCCTGTCCTCTCCTTCTTGAAGTCTAAAGAGGGAACAGGTACTAGAATATTTCAGTTTTCTGTCACACCTCAACCTCCAACACACTTGCAGGCTCCTGTTACTTTGAGTGGACCCCCCAGTTTACCAGAAAGCCCCCTGTCATCAAACTCAGACCTGGATTTTGAATCATCTGGACCTGCAGAATGATTTGGGGCTGCTCCACTGTAAACTAATCTGTTTAAACAAGGAAAGCTCAGATAATCCCAAATACTGCAGGCAACACATGACCTCTTCATTTCTACACAACCATCATATTTTCCACTGCCATAAGAAGGAAACTTTCAAATTGGGGCAAACCAGGTGAGTTCATTTGTGAATGGAAGGCAGTCTGGTTTGTCAGGACTCTCCAGTGATCACTGTTACAAGCAGTCTGGAGTGGAACTAGTCCAAACCCACCTGCAGGTGCTTGTTCTTAGCTTGTTCTACATTTGTGGAGGTTGCTATGATAGTGAAAGTCAACGGGTCTCCTCAGATTCAAAAGCAAGGCTGCTGTGTCACCTGAAAATGTTTCCATCACCCTTCAGTGCATACCCTGGCCCCTACTATTAGATGATGTAGATGTGCAGAAATAAATCAAGGTAGATTTTATAAAGCACAGAAGCTAGTTAGGGGTTCCTGACAAAGCTTAACATTTTACTGAAAAAGATGAGATGGGTCTCTTACATGACTGAGCTGGTAGTGGCATATGACTGAAACATGATTATTTGTCGTATGATAATGCTTGGGGACCTCTGATGCAAATCTTAATTTGGCACTTTCTGCAGTTGAGTATTTGCCACATGGGCAACAAGGTATTCAGTTGAAACGGTTCAGCCTCTTTTCATCCTAAGCCACTTGTCTTTGGTACGCTCTGTCCTCTTGTGGTAGCAGGTTATCACCACTGAGCTCAGGAGTCCTGGTCTTTTGCTTACAGAGACCTTAAGAGATGAGAAATGGCTACAGCTTTCTTTCACTAACAGCACTATGTTTCAGGGATAAGACAAGGCATTAGACCCTCCTGATTTCTCAGTGGCAAGATCATAGCCATGGAATTTCTTGGCAGACAAGACGCAGCCACTTGCTTAGGTCTGTGTAAGACTCTGAAGCAGTGTTGCACTCTTGCATTGCTAAATGCACCTACATCCATGCACAGAAACAAAAGGAGCAACCGCAGTTTGTCAGAACAAAATTAAGGCAGCATGCAACTTGATAACAGCAATTGAAGATTGTTAGTGTGAGGAACAGCTTAACGCTCTTTTGGAACTGGCTTTGTACATTACCCTACTGTCAATTATGGATAATGTTCTCCTCTTGGTGAGCCATCTAGAGCAGTGGTCTCCAAAGTGAGGTGCGCAAGACGATCCATTGGGGTACGGGAAGAAAATATTAGAAATTCTATTTATATAAATATACATATATTGGGGGTGCATGCTCAAACTTTTTTACTGATAGGGGTGCGCGATCAAAAAAGTTTGGAGACCACTGATCTAGAATTTGCAGAACTGGTGAATCACAGACCAAATTTGAACTGGAAATACCTGCTGCTCTGATTTCTTCAGACTCTCAGGGAGTTAAAGACTAATAAAGGTTTTTTCTTTTTTTAACCTATAATGTTTGCCAAAACCAGAAAGAATCCTGGTAGCACTCCACTTGCACTACTGATTCTCAACCTGGGGCCCCTGAGATACTTCCAAGGGTGTCACAGGATGCCATGCAATGTTAGCACTGTTAGGTATGCTAACATGATTCACAAGACAAACCCAGAGATTTGAAACAGGAATTCAGAGTGTTAAAATCATTCTGCCCTCTTGTAGTCTTTGAGTTCTTTGCAACAGATGAGTTGCTCTATTATTTTTCTGTAGTCATAGTTACATTGGAGGCTACTCATTGCCTTGATTTTTAATGCATTTGTCCTCTCATCCTTGTCAAGTATTGAAACCCTGTCATCTGCACTTCATGGAGAGGGAAACTGAGACGCACAGACTCAGCAACTTGCCCAAGTTCATCCTGGAAATCTGGGGGAAGAGTAGGAAATTAAACTAATTAAACCTAGTATTATCTAATCAATTACTGCTAGAAATAATTATCTAGTCACACTTACATTCCTGGGAGAAGACACAGATACCTAGAGAAATATTAGCAAGGCATACCAAGAAAATAGAACCCAGTTAACCCAAAGAAGAAGTGGGTTTTATTCAGATCGCTTAAAAAGAACTGAGTAATGGGCACTACTAACTGAAAGAAGCAATTGGGAAAAAGAATACGTATCTTTGTTAAAGATTTAATACCTTTGATCAGGCATTCCCAAAGTTTTTATACCGTGGCCCAGCAAATCGCAGCCAGAATTTTCGGTCAGAAGGCAGGTAAGGATACCCCCACCCTGGGTGGGCCAAACCCTGCGCTGCTGCAGGCTGTGACCACTTCCAGTCCAGCAGCCGAGCCATGTAGCTTGGCACTGGGCCTTGGCCTGGGGTTTGAGAACTCCTGCCCTAGGTCTTCAAATAACGCAGCGTTTTGAAACATGCCGAGAGAATCAGCACTCTGTATTTTAGGTTCCTCAAAATAGATGTTCAGAGAAAAATTTCTAAAACCTACAATTATATATTCCTGATGTTTCTAAAATAATGGAACATCATGTTATAAAGCATCAATGGTATAAGATCTATTTTTTTCTATGTTGCTTTTCCATTTTTCTTTTCCTTAACTTTAATTTACTGAAGTCAAAAGAAAGGAGCACATTTCTTCAGGAAGGTTAGCACACAGGAAAATCCACAAAAATTCTTGAAATATTTTATTATAAATCACTTCAAACAAACTTCAGTTAAAAAAAAACACCTTTTTAAAAAGGAAGGACTTTTGTCCACACTATTTTAAAACAAAAGTTCATAAAGAAAATAAAGTTATCAAGCATCAGCTTCTGTCAAGAGTACTTTTGTAACCAAATCTAAAGGACAAACAAAACAATGGGCATGTATATCTATTTCTTTTATACTCATAATATGAGGGAGACCAAGACATTGTAGGCATCAGGAAGGATTTTATTGCTTGCCAGCACAGGATGAATACTGAACAGCCAACTGTCTTGATGAAATATTTTCACTTGTATTTCAATTATTTTCTGTTCCAATAGAGATTAACCATGAACATTTTCTTTGAAATAATTAACCAAACTCTTGGAAAGGGTTAAAAGCCATGCAACAAGCTACTTCACTTCATATACTTTTCTTGTTGATCAGCCAGGATTTTTGCGGAGGATTTGGCATCATAGAAAAGTTCATTTATTTCTTCGATGTGCTCCTTCTCAATGCTGTCTTTCCCATTAATCTTGGCGAGCAGGTTAGCTGGGGTCAGTAACTGCACAGCATACCTATGATCAAATGCAGGAAGAGGGTAAGACTGATTTAATAGTTACAATCCAGTACATTAGAGTAAACTCCAAAAAGGATATAGGTAGCACTGGCATATTCATACACAGATCTCTCGATACCAAAGGTATAAAAAGGCAGCAATGCACCCCAACATTGGGAGAAAATGGAAGGACAACCCCTTTCATTAAGTTCAGTGCCACTCTTACCTAGCTAAATGTCACCGTACAGCAACTAAGTTTCACCCCTGAATCAGGAAGAAAGTCTATTATCCCAGAGTGTTTCCCCACCCAGTTGCTCCAGGATGCAAAAGGAAAAAAAAATGGAGTGAGTCCTGCTTACCTTAAGGTTGTCTTGGTACCAATTTCTCCTAGATGGTTTAGGGCTTCCTCACTAATATTAATTCCCTCTGTCTGGGCACGAAGTTTTATGATCTGTTTGGTTAAATAAGGTGACTAAATGAAGCTGCATCAGTTAAGTAATGTGAACAATAGTAAATGCCAGGCTTTTGAGCTCATAGAAATAGGCTGCACAAACTGGATACGCTGTTAATTTAATTTTACCCCTAGAGTATCCCCTTTAAAGGCAGACATGCACATTTCTAAGTCATCCAGAATGACTGACTTTTAACAGGCAACATAATATTTTTTTCTATTGCGTATCATTGTATGTGGCAGATGAGTGTGACTATGTGGCATGGTAAAAATTTCTGGTGATTCTGAAAGAATTAAGTATTCTTGTTAATTAGAATCAGAAAATAAAAGCTTACATAGGTAATGCTTAATACATGCTCAGCCATTAACAAAGGCAGCTAGAGCCCTGTGAACACAGAAGCACAGAGCTGCACTGATCTCCCAACCCAGTTGTGTACTATATAGTCACTGCTGTAAAGCACAGTCCTCTGACAAATCCTATGGAAAGCTACGCTTTCCTCTCTGCTGCTCACTCCACAACACACTTTTTATTCATTTGATAAACAAGATGGTAAAATAAATCAAAAAGTTTCTTTATAAGGTTCACCTACCCCCACAAAAAAATCACTGGGAGGAATCTAATCTTTCAAGAACAGTCTCTAGCTTGTACCAGTTTGAAGATCTTTGTAAAGTTGGAGAGCAAGATATCGCCAATAAGCCTGAGCGTATAAAGCTGTAACAAAAGTGGCACAAGTCCCCCTGCAGTCCGTATTACCAGCTGAGTGATAAGGGGCAGACTGGATAATGATGTTGTGTTGTAGTGCTGAGATAACTCTGGAACTGCAAGCCTCACATAATACAGGTATTTTTCACTTTGGCAGCTTTGTAAACAAGATATCAAGAAGCACTCGTTTAAATTAAAGCCATAAAAATGCACCGGGGGGGAGCCAGAGTTGTGGGAAGGGGGGAATTTGACATGGCAGAAAGTTCTACTCGTAACATTACAATCTGAAGCAGTTTTTAGAATATTTAGTATGAATGGCAACCTTAAGATTTTTTTCCAACTTGTAAATCGACTAAACTTCACTTCTCCAAGCTTCCAGATACTGCTGTTCAACACAGACCCTTCCCAGAAATACCAGACCTTGAAGTGCTAATCTAGGTTAATACAACATTTAAAAATGGTATTTTTAAACTTTCATCTTGGGCTAGGTTCTGCTAAGTTACCAAGCAAGCAAGAAACGAGATATTAAAGCTGGCAAATACATATAAAAAAAGGTGTTAGGGAGGGGGAAGGGAAGTATTTCAGGTAAAACAGTTCAACAGGAAAAAAGTTCCAGTTATGCCCCCTTACTATTCAAGTATAGGTACTTATACAGAAGCTGAACAGAACACTGCCACTACATTAAAGTCCATATTAAAGTGGATTTTCTCTTCATCCAGGTAGAATGAAGATATTTGGCATTCTTATGATCTCTGATTATAGCTTTAAAATGTACACAAGATGCAGTAATCTTACATCGATAGCATAATCTGTACTACCAAGACAAAAAAAAAAAATCTTGCAGGTGCATTTTTGAATGCATCTAAGTTAAAGTTTCCACAAACTGTTTTTTGTGATTAAAATCAACTGTGGCACAAACAGAATGTTTGATGCTTGATCCTGTGAGGGCAAAAAGTGTCATTTCTGTGCAGAAGGCATGGCCCGTGGAAGCCACCACCTTCTAGCATGAAAGGTAAAAAAAAGCAGCAAACTCAAAAAAGTGACACAAAGTAAATTCCACCCTCAGTGTGTGTGCCAAGTTCCAGGTCCTTCCCACCCAAGTAGGACTCCAGGGTATAAGACAGCATGATCTGTGAGCTTTAATATTTGGCTTTAAAAACAAGAGTTTTACTACAGCTCTTCCTCTTCACCCTCCTCCCCTCCCAATCATGAGCAAGTCAGAGCCATCACATGGCTCCTTTGAAAATAAGAGAGTTCAATAAATTAGATCTTTAATCACTTAATAGTCTACAAGGATAATTTGAGTGTGTCCAGTATGATAGCAAAGCAGACAGTAGTTTATTTTATGATAAACTACATTACAGTGTTAGGAATGATTTTAATTCAACAAAAGCAGGGCAATTCAAAGGACATGCTGCCACTATCTTGCCTCACCCTTTGTGCCCAGAAAATCTAGGTACAATAGGGATAAGTCCAGGACACAGTAGCATCCCTCAGTGAATCCCCAGGTTTTGAGTGAAAGTCAAACTTTAAAACTGGCTTAATGTACAGATAAAACCCAATTGTATTACTGTACCCTCCGGCCACTTCTACTTTAATCTGCACTGAAGTGCTTCAGCTATTCTTTCAGGTGCTCAGAAATCATCTCGAGTATAACTTGAAACCGTGATCCAAGAAAGCCTCCTCATACCAAATGAAACGAGGCTTTGCCTCTATGTTTATATGCGATAAATGCCTCAGCTTCACCTTGGCACTTATCCAGCAGCGGGAGACTATTATCTTGTGACAACGCTCTCCTCCATTGACACTATCTCTTAAATAATACAAAGAATTGACATGATAAACCATAATGGCTCCTGTATCGTGTCACTTCACAGTATTGAGACGCTAATGAGGGGGATCTTTGACACGATGCATCATAATGGCACCCAAGGATTATAATCAATACATAATACATTGCAATGGCCCCACAGGAAAGTCTTGGGCATTCAGAAATGTTTTGCTACAACACATCCTTGCTGTGCTTACACTCCCAAGCCTGACCCAGAAGTGTGAAGAGGTTTACTGCTCTGTTTTAGAATGCAGAACCTGTAAGGTTAAAAGCTAGAGGAAGTCCAGCTAGTGCAAGGGTGGCAGAAAAAGTCCACAGGGTTGTACGCCACAGCTCCTCTCATCTTTAATATGCAGGTGCAACCTGTGGAGGCAAGAAGGCCCAGCTTGCAGTGCTACTTCTTATACTGAGAGACACAGCACAGGCTGCTGGAGCACACAGACTCTGTAGGCAGCACATCCGTATCAGAGATAAGCGTAGCAGCAATCCACACCATTTCACGTAAGTTGGGTGTCACTTTCAAGCTCCATACAATTTACCAATATGGCCATTTGGCAGAGAAGATTCAGACTATACTAATCCAATACTGGTCATCCAGGAAAAAATAAAACAGAACAGCAATGAAGTACTACTTATATAGGAGGTTACATGGTACAGACAAGGTTCTGGGAGCAGACTGTTGTCAAACTGCATTACAATATCATGGCCAGGACAGTGCTCATTCTTAATCCTAACAAGCCATAGTTCCAAAGACTTTTTCAAGACTTGTTTAAATCATAGAAAATGAGGGACCTCAGGAAGTAATCTAGTCCAGACCCTTAACTCAAAGCAGGACCATCCTCAGCTATATTGTTCCAGGCAAGGCTTTGTATAGCTGGATCTTAAAAACCTCCAAACCCTTACCTGTTTCATTTCCTGTGGCGTGTACAGCATGGTTCGAATAATCATTACCCTGTCGAGAAGGTCCAGTGGTATTCCATGAGGGGAAACTACATCCTCTGTGCCTCTGAAAGAGAGACAAAAGATTAGATTCCTTGTTCTGAAGTTCAATACGTGGGCTGGGTTAATGTTAATAACTACTGGTTGACTGCCATGAAAGAGCCACAGACTGCTGGATTTATTTTTGCATGGCATGCACACCCCACCCTCCCCCATATATGCACCCATACACACTGCATGCTGGACCAGGGAACTGACCCCAGAGTTTGTAATCTAACCTGGAACAACACGAAGAGAAACTACTCCTTTCACTCTAGAAATTTTGCAGAGAAATATTACTGGTGGTGGTAACCAGTGGGGTGCAGCCTTCCTTACAGTACAATAAAACTATATAGTACTAGTCAATCTCCAATGATCTTAACCTCTGACAATTCCAAGCGTATAGCATGTGTCCCAGGAAGGAGCAAGTCATCGTTATCATAGCATTAGGTAATTAAATAGATACTGTATGCAACACTGAACATTTAGAGAGCATCTGTTCCTGTTAAACCAGCTGTTCTACTGTTTATTACTGTACACTGGTGCTCTTTCCCTCCCCTTCTTCTCCCAACTACTGTAGTGGTTCATACTCCCCATTGACTGAACAGTGCAAGGCATTAAGCTTATAGTACAGAACCTCCAGCACTTCGTTTCTGGCAGGAAAGAACAACTTCAGGAATTCTAGGTTCTTCTTGAAACAGTGAGGCTTTTCAGAAGTCAGTCAAACTGAGCATGACCAGTTGTGACAACTCCACTGAGCTTATGAGATCTACTGAGATCACAGCCAAAGATGCTATGCTTCTAGTAAACAATTCTACTTCCACTGTGGGTTATCTGATTGTTTCAGGTTCTACTCATCACCCTGCCATGGGGGGTACAAAGCATTAATGAGAAAATAAACTTTCTTAAACATCTCCTGCTACATTCCCCAGTAGATGTCACTGTTTCACCTGAAGCCAGTTCTAGTGCTATTAGGATACAGCCATCTATATTATACAGGTACTAGGTGCACTGCTCGATTCTCCTTAAGGTTACCTATAGGCATATTTAAAGGAGAATACATCTTAAATCGCTTGGTTCAACAGTATATGTTAAACATCTTCCATTTTGAAGGATGGAATTTAAAGAATCATAATTGCCCTAGCCTGCGTAGGACTAATACTTGTTCTAAAGAATTCCTCCTCCAGCAAATCAGATTTGTTGTTCCGGGGGGGTTGTGTGCACCGGACACTGATGTGTTTCCCTTTCATGAGGCAGCCAACACAATATCTATCTCAAATGTGTTTAAAGCACTTATCACCTTGATATCTAAGTAACAGGGATGGAGAAACACAAAGACCAGATGCACCGAGTGGGTGTAACCAACAGGGGAGGGAGAAGTAGGGTACAGGCAGCTGGTTACATAGATGAGCTCTGTGCACGTTTTGCAGGTTGACTCAATTAACAGATAGTAGCAATCCCTACTGGCAGCCTGTCTAGACATTATCAGTTGGCAATTTACCACAGGCAACATGATAGCAGAACAGGAGAGTGGTTTTACTGAAAAATTCGGTGTGTGTACACCTTGGTGAAGTGGAGACAGACAAAAGTGTGAAAGGGCTTACGGAAAAGATGGGTTAAGTGACTGGCTGGAGGAGCCGAGAAGGCCAAACCAACACTGTGACAAAAAGGGGTATAAATGGAGAGGGACTGAACTGTAAGAGGCCCTAAAGGCAAGAACAAGTATGTTAAATCCAATGCAATGGAGAAAGGAGAGAACAAGAGGCCTGAAAGGGGACAGGGTGGGAGAAACAGGAGAAAGTCATAACTTAGGAAGTTTTTAGTAGCAGTGTTTTGAATATTCCTGGAGAACAGATATGTTTGGTGAAGGAAGCAAGAGAAGAAAGGAATTCTAGCAGAATGGCAAAGGAAAAGAAACAGAGGTGTGTCCCTGAAAATGAGATGGAAAAAAAAAATACTTCCACCATCCTCTAACCTGCAGTCACCTCAGAATTAAGTGCTTTCCCTTTGATGCAACCCTGAAGCAGCTCTCCAGTACTGATAGAGCTTGTGACCCAGCCAAAAGATTATCACAGGGGTGTCTGCACCAAAGATGAAAACATTTAAAGATCATAGTTCGTTGTGCTAAGGCAGCTAATTCGAACGATTACAGACAGATGTGAATCATACAGAATTCCGCTGTAGACACTGTACCTGATAATGCAGTTCCCTCGGTTGGAAGCAAAGATGACGATGGGTGAGATAGATGATTCCAGTGCTCGATGCAGATATGTGAAACATTCAATATCCAGCATGTGAACCTCATCTACAAAGAGCACACCTGGAACCAGCTCTGCAATGCCTTGATCAATGTATTTATTCACCACCTTGTTGATCTCCCCTCGAAGCTTGTCTAAAAAGCAGGAAAGAAAACCATTTTAGTTGTCCTGTTAGAGGCCTCTGGACTTGCGTGAGGAACCCTGAGAGACTAAAATGGGTGCTACCTCTTTTCTAACATTTTGATTCCAAACTGATAACTTATCCTATCAAGGCAAGCCTGCAAAAATTCCAGGTGTGGACTAAGACAGGCTAAGCTGCCAAGTTTCACATACAGATCAGAAGACAACAGTGATGCAACTATAAAACCTTAATTGACTCAATGAACTTAAGTGACCATAACTGCAAAATACCAGATGCTGAAGGTAAAACATCTGAACTACTTCTACGCTCTACAAGATAAAGGGATCTGGCTGTCATCATGAAAGCTCAATGCCCAGCAGTGGCCATAAAAAACAAACAAAACATTACATGCACAAGGGACAAAATAACAAATAAAACAGAATATTGTGGAAACACACAGAACCAGTGATGTGGACGCCCTAGAACACTGCCTGCAGGGCTGGTTATCCTGTCTCAAAAGGGATTTTGCAGAAAGACAGAGTTCAGATGGCACAGATGGTTAACGGGTCTGGAAATTTCACAGGAAGAGAGGCTGAAAAGATTGGAATGGTGTGTCTATTTAGATACAGAGATAAACAATAAGGAACATCAGATCCGGTTTTGTTTTCTCTCTCTTGCAACACAAGAGCAAAGGGACAATCAAAGCAATTATAAAACTGACAAATTCAAAACTAATAGAAGGAAAATACCTCCCCTCTCCCCTGTGCCAACCTGTAGACTGTGGTACTTGTTGTCACAGGGAGTGCCTAGCAATGAGGAATTTGGATTCACAGACAGGGAGTATTTGTATGTAATATCAAACATAGTTTAAATTAATGCTGTAATTATTGAAAAGGATGCTGCACCTCATTTCAGGGCCTAAGACAATTTCCAACTATAAAGCTCAGCATTAGACAAACACAGTATGGCGATGCAGACTAATGCAGCTGCCTATACCACCCCACTCTACAGTGTCTGGTAGTGGCCATTGTTAGGGGGACACTGGGTGAGATGGACAGCAAGTCTGATCCAGTTGGGCAATTCCTAGCTTTTCAATTGCTATTTTTCCCTATGATGCTCATTGTTCTATACCCCACATACATACATCATCTACATTTGAAAAAAGACCCAGATTAATGTAATGCACTGAGACACCAGACTGTGAGCAAGAAAAGAATTTTTTGCTATTCACCACGAGTACAGGAATAATCTGCTTGAACTGAGTTCTTAGTTCTTTCAACTGGGATAAACCTCCTACTCACATGGCTTGTGAGGAACTCTTAAGTGATGTTAAGAAAAAAGTAACTTCAAAATCAAATGACATTTGACTGACATTTTCAACAGAGAATTTAACAATATGTCCAAGTGTGACTGGAAGGAAAGTTAAATGTGGGTCTTGTATTTCACATGTTGTTTGTATTCGAAGCAAAAACTGTAAGTCTTCAGCTTTTTGAGCAAACAGATCTCAAAGCTGTGCAGGAGGTTACATGGATAAAATTTAACTTCAGTGTAGATAAAATGACCTCCAAAGAAGGAATACTTCAAAACGGCACCACTGAATTTAGGTACTGAAACAGACTTTGATTGGCATTTAGGCAGGCACCTATGGAAGCACCATTTCTTTCAAAGTAAACAGAAGGAAAGCTTTCTACTGTAGGTCTTTTTCCTTCAGTGATTTGTAGGGAGGCAGAAAAACAGCTCCTTTAACAGCATCCACAGGCTATTGCTATGGACAATGCTATAGCAAGCTGAATTGTTTGATTCATTAGGAGCCATCTTCCTACTTTGACAAACTGTTGTATAGTTGTGTAATGAGACAGGAAACATACTGCACCTCATAACAAGAGAATTTTTGGTCTGTAATGGTACCAGTATGTCTCCATAGGACATATGGGCCCACACCATTTCTGGAGGTAACTTTCTGAAAGCATGGGAGCTAATATTAGTGTCTGCCCAACATTCTCTCTCAAAAAGTTGTTCACCAGTCAGGTATTACAAAATGCAATACATATGTTATATATCTCATTCCAATCACTGCACTACAAGTATCAAATGTATTGCTTTTTAAAAAGCTAAGTAAGGTAATAATCGTTATAGGTACTTTATTCACACAGCATGCAACAACAAACAAATGCACCCAGATCTTTCAAATCCTTGGCCAGCTGGCCAAAATATAGGGCTAGGCTACTGTCGCAATGAGGTCATTGTGGAAGCAGTTTTCATACCTGTGATTTCTGTTTTCTTGGGTTTCATCAACTGTCCCATCATGGAAAGGATGTCCTGCCCACCCTAGATGAGACGGAGTTACAGTTCACTAGTGTATCCTTTGAACTGTTTAATGCAGGAGGTTTGATACAGAACAAACTAGGATTTTATGCATTTCACTCAAAGTTAAAGATGTGATTTATTTGAAGCCCTTTTATAGTTTCCTCTAACAGTAGCTGATTCTACTCCAACCGTCCAACCCATTAACTACTTTGCTGGCATTCCAGGCACTATCCTTTTAACTAGATGCTGTATAGATCCCTTTGCAGGTCAGTACATTAGGGGAACCACTCCAAGCCCACAGCCTGACATCCTTTTCTACAGTACCATCCACCTTAATCCTAGGTCACAAGAATGGAAATGGTTGGGGAGTAGAAAGACAGACTGCCTGCTTACAGTGTAATTGTTACAACCCAACAACACAGGAATGGCTGCATTTTGACTTTGGCTCATCTTGTTTACACAGGCTAAATGAGGATTTTGTTTTAGGGGAGGTTATTTTGAAACTGGGCATATTAAAATGGTGGGACTTCTAACTGTGAGGATGTCAACACTGAAACTGTCCCTTTTCATATAAAAACTCACAAAATATCAGCTGTCTGGTTTAAGATACAGAGTGGTGGCCTCCCACTACTCGGGTATAAAGAGATTTCCTCTTTTCAAGATTAGGGTTCTACTGCAAGTCACTGGGAACACAATAAAAAGTTATAAACCATTTCTAAAGGATACAGGGGCATTAACAGAAAGTACAGTGAAGTCAGACAAATTTAAAGGCCATTTATCAAAGTGCTCGCAGTTCCCATTTCACAGCCACCAAAACCATAAATGCATAGCAAAGGAAGTTAATCTGTATGCAGAAGATTTTAATAAATAAAGATGGTGCAGACCTTCTGGCTGCCACTAGCTGACTTCTTTAGGCATTCAGGATGGAAAATAATGAACTCTTTCACATAGTGATGGCAAATGTTACCTATAAAGATCTCGTCTGTTAGCTTTAGCCATCAAAGGGGTTTGGCGTTTGGGGTGAAGACTGTCTGGTCCGGATTATGCAGCTGTTCCTTGATGTCTTTGTGTGGGAGATGCCCTTTTTGATACCTGAGGCTCATGCTCCTTCTCATCTCAGTTTGTGTTCTGGCACAGTGCAGCATCTCTTTTTTTCCCTAACTCTGTTCTTTCCCCCTTATTTGCTTCTCTTCCTGCCACCTCACTCAGCAAAAGGCTACTTCCTGTGTATGATACAGGGCATAAGCAGACATGGGAAATGTATTACAGCCACTGAGGATTTTGTAACCAGATATATATATGCAAGACACAATGTTGTTTCCTCAACATGTGCAGAGGAGCTGTTTGTAGGGCCAGCTGCAAAAGGGGTCTCCTCTTAAGGAGAAGGGAAAAAAAAGTGTGTTTTGAGGTGCTACTACTGCTCTTCCTAGAGGTGACAGGTTTACAATGAGGAGTCGGACTGGATTTAGGGCCTGCAGCATTCCCATCCCCTGGATTACTCCTGAATCCATCTCCAGGCTCTCAAGTACCTGAGGTCTAGCATTGGCCACATCCAGGTCATGCAGGGTGACATCCTGAATAATTTCTTTTTTCTTGTGGACATCACCCTTTGGCAAGGGGACGTACTCCTCAGCTTCAAGGTCAAATTCTGTGGCATAAGTATCACACCTGCCTTGCCTCTGAAAAAAGGGAAGAAGAGAAACACAGGTATTCAGCTGGTTTCACTGTGAAGACCTTGAGTGACATACAGCTGATAAATGGCTTGGCTCACAATTCTAGCCCTGACAAGCTCCAGTTGACAATTCAGAATATGTCCCATTCCCTGCTGGGCAACATGCATATCCTATGAACTGATCTAGGCTCAAAAACCTTGTTGAAAAACACCTGAAATTTTCCAGTGAGAATATTCCACTCTCTGGCTCCTCTTCTTTTTACTGTATGCAATTTTCACTAAAGGACAAACCCAACAGATTAACTAAGAGATTGGAAAAACTGTTCAAGACTCCTTTGTAGGTGGGTGATTTATTATATGATACAAAATATTATGCTCATCCATTAAACAGCAAGTATCGCAGTACACTACATTTTAAATCAGATATGAAAAGAATGCTAACTAATGCAGTATTCCCTTCTACATGCATATATCTTGTGAAGAAAATATCAGAGAGATAAAAGAAAGATTAAATGCATTGCACATTTCAGCTTGAGAAAGAAAAACCCAAACAACTTTAGTCATTCTCTTTTTTAAAGAAAGATGTCTTGGTTTTTTAGCAAAGAAAGCAAGTTCAGCCCAAGCAGCTGCAGTGATAGCTTTCTCTCTAGGTGACCTTAACTGTGAACTGAATGACTGCTCCCTCTTTGGATAAGTGGCATTTCTCCCTCTGCAGCCGCAGAGTCCTGGGCCTATCCTTAACAAGTTTCCTATCCAGCCCTGCCAGGTCAGTAGGACCAAGCCCTTCAAGTGCATACACATGAACAGGGGTGTCCAACTGTGCAGCTCCTGAGGTGTTAATATACAGCTTCTAGGCTTCTGGTTTGGGTTTCTGTCCCCATATCACTCTGCTGCTGTTCCACCAGGGTCTCTGGACTCACATTCCCTCTTCCAGTTTGTTTTCTGCCCCACCCCTGGAGATGGGGTGGGGCGAGGCAGGATGGTATGACCTGAAGGACCACATAACTCCATAGCTGGGAGGTTCAGGTAGACCCCAGAGGGTGGCGTCACCCAATGCAGAGGGCAGAAGGGGAGGTGGCAGGCACATGGTATAGGGGCACCAGCAGTGTGCAGCAGGGGTGCCTATGCAGTGTGGTACACAGCCCAGGAGGCATGCAGCCCACACAACACGTGGCCAGGGGCCCTGTGGTCCCTGGCCACTCCAAAGTTGGACAGCCTTGCACTACAACAAGAGTGTCATCCCATTCTTAGCGTTACCTTGACAGCTCCACTGTTTGCTTCAATGTAAATCACATCCCCTGCTTCCACTCTCTCCTTCTGCAAACTTTCAAAGATACTGGGGTCCAGCTGTAGACAAGCACACATATAACACAGTAGTTAAACAGTTCCACTGCATTCCAGAATGACAACAAGAGAACAGACTTTAATTGAAGTTTTTTTAATTACAATAATACAGGAGTTTACTCCTTTATTGCAATAATAAAGAATTTAGATCGTCACAAAGCCAAAAAACATGGGGAACTGATGACTCTATTGAATCTTTATGGTCAAATTTATAAAAAATGCTGAAAACTTACACTAAAATTTCCTTATTGACTTCACCTGCTATTTGAGGAAGAGACTCTTATGACTAAACTACATTTACTAAACTTTTATTTATAAGGGTACTTGAAATGCCTGATTTTCAAGCCTAATAGATCTCTGATTAATTCAGGAAGAGGATGCCATTATATTTCACGCTTAAACTGCTGATTCTTAGGATGTGGTGGTGCTCTTTGGCTGTTAGTCAAACTTTTTTTAAAGGGTTGGCTGTTGTTCCTGGAAGAGATCACACTATTTGACTATTCAGTGTCTTTCTGTAGTGATGTGAACCTTCTGTTCGATCTCTGCCATGTGGGTTACGTAACTAGGCAAGACAGAAAATAGAAGAGGCACACACTTTTTTTCATTGCTTGAAGCATGGCTCATTTATTTTTCACTGTGAGATGCTCTGATTGTATTTTCAAAGTGAACAAAGGAAAGACAATTTTTACTAAACAGCAGGCAGATGTTGCTGTAAAGTCTCTTATCCCCATTTTACCAACAGGAAGAGAAAACCAGGCAGAAGAGGTAGAGAGACTTGTCTTGAGAGAGCAAAACAAGTCTGGGTCTAATTTAGCAACAAAATTCACAGGGAGTGAGGGCCAGAAACCTGCTGACATCACTAGAGCTTACTCTCTTGATAAGAAATGGAGGCAAGTGATTAATGAAATAATTTATATTAATACAGGCAAGATTTCAAGTAGCTAACCTTGAAAATTCAGAGGGGTAATAATGGGAAAAAAAGGAATTTATTTTGCACTTAATGGTTAGGACAAATATGAGATTGTAGTGGAGGTCAGCCTGAATATCGCATACCAGCAAACTGTACTGCCAGGCAGAGGCAGATCAGTTTGGCTCCCAAGCTTAGGCAGATCAGTTTGGCTCCCAAGCTTAGCCCTTTGTTCCACTGGGCTAGCAACACTGTGAAACTGGCAGCATCTCCTGCAGCCTGAACAATCCTTTTGGCTGTCAAAAGAGATATATCTTTGTGTGTTGGGAGAGAGAAGACAGGGAGGAATGGGAGATTTCACAGGGCTCCCAGATCATCAAGCCCCAGGAACAATAGTTGGTAGTTCAATGGAGAAAGTTTTCCTCATGTAAGTCTTCTGATTCACAGTAAGAAACATGGGTACAGTCTACCAATTTCTGAAAAGGAACATGGGTCTGTGCTTGGTGACTGGGGGAAGAAATAGGCTTTTCCTCTTTATCTGGCAATGAGATGGAGCTCACAAACAAGTAAAACGGTAACCAAGTGCAACTAGGAAGTGAAACTCCAGATCTGGAACACCAAAGGATGGGTTTGGGAATCAGTCATACATACCTTTAATTGCTTGGTTCCTTTAGCTGTTTTGAGTCCTATAATTACATGGCTAATCGTTTTCCCATATCCTCCCATAGGATTTTCAGTCTCACACGGAGTTAACTCTGTGACTTCACCTTCATAAACCTCCTTGGTTTCTTTAATTCTCAGCCCTACAAGAAATTGTTTAGAGCGATTTCAGTGCATACATCAATTATTAATTGTATTTAATTATTCTAGACTCTTGCCATCTAGCATTCATCCTTGCCAATGACACCAGACCTCAGAGAACATACATAACATATTATTTATATAAATAACATAAATAACATTATGTATGTGCTACAACATTCTTTGTAGTACTTCCTACCTTGGAAAGTAGAAAACACCACTGGTATTTCCCCCATTGCTATATTATAAAGAGAATATATGTATCCTCAGATCACATGAAAGGAAAAGCTTAAGGATATTCATGCAGGTGAAGTCCAAATTGTAACCTACAAGTTCTGTAACAAAGCTCTAATAGTTCATGCTTCTGTCCACCCTTTAAAGGGTTTTGCAGAAAACCTTTTTTCTTTTTCATAAGTGCCACAGGTAGAAGAGCCACACAATGATGTTCTGAAAATACAGATCAGTGATGCTGGTATATAACTGGGATTTTTACATTTTTCAGGGACTCAAATTATCTGCCAAACTGAAACATAAATATCTGTTGAAACTAAAAACAAACTATACTTTTATGTAGCTTTAAAAATTCTAGTGGCAGCAACGGATTAAAACAAAAGGGCCAAAGAGTATTCTTTTTTATTTGAAAAGTTTCTAGGAGAGGTTAAAATATTTGCCAGTGTTCTTATTTTTCAAAGTCAATGTACCACAGAAAAACACAGACCAGATATAGTTTAACAGACCCCTGGCTGCTATGCAAAACCCAAACTACTTCAGGGTGTGACATCAGAACCCACTATTGATATGCAGATATTTCCATGCATATTTCTGTGTCCACCTCTGTATTTCTCAAGGGTTCCTACTTCCTGACTATCTGAATGCCTATTAACTTCTGTGGCCGCTATAATCAACTCAACTTATTTTGCAGGTTTCTTAATATTACAAGGTAAAGAAGCTTATAGCATATGGACAGGCTGTAATTAGATAGAAGCTAGTCAATTTGTGGAGTCTGAACACATTAGAAATGCACAGAACTTTGCTTTTAATTTGGTTTTAGACTAAATACATGGATCAGGACTTTACCAGTAATTGAGAGCTGCAGAGAGTGAAAAAATGTTATCTGACAAATGTTAGTCTGTCTCCCCCTGCTGGACTTAGATTAAGAATGGGAATTTTAATGTAAAAAAATGTGAATGGTTTGATCATTCTTCCGTGGGATAATTTGTCTTTTTTTATTTAAAATCTTGCAACATGCATCAGAGAATTGAATTACAGGAATGTACTTAATTTTTCCAGATAATATCTTAATGTGCACAAAATAAGAAATTAAATCTCTGAGTAGTATAATTTACATAAAGAAGATGGCATCATATTGAGAAGTTTTATAGATAAACTCCATCTAGTTACTTTTCTGCAATGATATAAATGGATTAGTATTGCTCCTTAGCTTTTAGGAATTTTATTTGGATGTAATGGGAGTGAAGTTTAATTTAAGGAAGGAAGCAAGCTTGGAAGAGGAAGAGATGACCTAGGCATTTCTTGTATGTGTATTTAGAAGTATAATTCCAAAAAGGAACTTGTAGGGTCCTTTATGTATTCAAGTTGCCACTAATGAGGCAGTAAAGTCTTGCTTACCTGTAAAACACTCAGTTATGGGTTGGAGATCTAAAGATATTTTAGGCAGCAGTTACGCTTATACTCATAATCACATTTTAAATTATGATTATACTATTATTTTTACTTCAACTGGGATTTACCATTAACTTCTGCCAGTCTTTTCAGCAATAACTGCCTTTATATAGGATTAAGACCCACAAGTAAAAAAGAGGGCAACTCCACCCGCTGACTTCCCGATCCACTGTGCGTTTATGTCTCTTATAAACTGAAAATTCTCCAGTGCAGGCAGTAGCTGACTGGCATCCAGAATGGTACTTAGTATACAACAAACTCCGGAATCTCACATTTTAAGGAATCCCAATAACAGTTCTGGCAGCGCGCTCTCGCCTTGATATAGCAGATCTAAAAGGAAACAGGGGAACCATACTGGTTACATTGCTAGAAAGCAAATTAATGAGCAAGGCCCAAAACATCAGGAAAATGCAAGGCACCGTTCCTGGTTATGATGGTTGCAAAAGGAAGGACTCTTGTTATACCCAAGAACAAGAAACTTTTGGAAAGACACTTGACAGTTAGCTTATTAATAGCTTGAATCATTTCAGCAAACTTGGGTGGGCTAAAGCGAGTGAAAGTACTTTGCTGGAGTCATGAATTAGACCCTGCATCTAGTATGACCTATCACTGAGGACCCTCATTACAAAGCATTAAGTGAGACTCAAAACTGAAGTCCCACTTATATCCATGGTATACTATCTTGTAGTCACCACATGCTTCACACTGTGGGTTACTCCCACTTGGAAAACACTTATATAATCTTTTCCTGGAAACACTTTATAAAACCTTATATATCAGCTAACAAAGGTGAAATTCAACTGGTCAGATCTGAGCATGGCTGAAAACTATTTACGTCATGAAAAAAGTGGGTTAAACCTTCTAAAATTGGTTTATGAGGATGTTTTTACAATAATTCATCAATCCAAAGGAATGTTTAACAATCATTTGTGCTAGGTGAATATAAAATGAAATTCAACAGAAGGGACTAAAAGAATTTCCATCTTTCATTAACACCAATATTTGTTTAGATGCCTTCTCTGTCCTGACATCCAGGGAATGTCGAGCGCTAACAATGTGGCTGGCTGTTAACTAGAGAGAGTTAAATTATTGCTCTCTCTGCAGAATGACAACGTGGATGACAAAGATTTCATTTGCTGGTTCAAATTTCCAAGTCTCTGACAGGGAACTTCATCACATCAAGGAAATACTGCAGACTGCTCTCTCTCTGTCCCTAACTCCCTTCCCCCAAGCCCTCGCAACTTAACAGTAACTTTAACACTGCACACTACAGAAAGTCGCTTTTTTACAGAAATCAATAGGTCACTTTTGTTTGGTTGCTGCATACAGGTAGACAGGGGGAGAGAAAGAGAGAGAGATGTCTTCACCTTCCCACCACTGGATACCTAGTTGAAGTCCATAGCAAATCATGATACCAAAACAGGAAAGTTAACTGGTAATGTGTTCAATACTAAAAACAATTAGGCTATCTCCATACAATCCATATGCATGCATGGACCACTTCTGATGGACTTTATCAGCTGTCAGCAGCAATCATAAAAGATTTTAGATACTCAATGAGGCTGTACTGCAAACTTAACTTTGTTCTTCCAGATACATTGAAACAGAACATCTTAAGTAGAAAAAGCATACTAGAATTGGAAGAGGAAGTTAACTGAATCCAATAGTCATTTCTGTGGCTTAGACCAGTTTCTTATGCTCATCTGGAATAAGACGCCAGGCTAAGTGTGGGATGCTTAGGTTTGTCTAGAATAAGACGCCAGGCTAAGTGTGGGATGCTTAGGTTTGAGTTTTTGATGAGCATGACCTGAGACTATTAAAGGGAAAGAGAAAAAAGCATCTCCCTTTCTACAAAACCCTCCTGCAGAGCCTAGGTCAGTGCCAAGACTGTAAAGAAAGTTTCTTCCAGGTTTGTTCAGCAGCCACTGACAAGACTGAGGTAAGATCCTGGAGGGCATGGAAAGAGAAGAGTGAAAGAAGACTTAGCTGGAATAACTAAGGTGGGGAGATGTGGAATTGTCAGAAAAGCATCCTGATTCAGCTAAGCTGGTAAGAATGTCCAACAGCGCTAAAAAGAGAATTATAAAAATCAGAACAACAGTGGGGCCTGCTCAACAGGACTGGTCCAAAGACCTGGTATTTTCTGCTTTCTTTTTTGAAAAGCCAAACAGCCATTTTACCCTCCCTCATTGTTTTTAACAAGCACTTACCAATCGCCCTTCTGAAGTTTTCCATCAGGACTTCTGTCTTTTTTATCTCAGTTGAGTAGACCTCGCTTCCAACCATAGGACAAAAGGGAACCTTACTTCCCAATTCTTGAGCAATAGCCAGCGCCAAAGCAGTCTATAAAAATTCAAAACATTTAAAGATCATGCACATATATTTTCAGAAGAAGTAACAAGAACTTATGGAAAAAAAAGATTACTGCTCCACAAAGTTAAGAATAAATACTATTTTAATCTTCACAGCATTCCATTTTTACAGGTGGAGGAAAATACCAAGCATCCTTCCTGAAACGGAAGTAGGGGGTAAATAAATTCACCCCATGAACCATGCCTGCTGATGTTTGCATACTTCTCTGTGCTAGAGCACTGGGGCAAGGGAGCTGGGAATGATCATCCTTACTTATATTAATATGGTCAGAAGGTGGATAGCAACACTCCGCTTCTCAAGATCTGTAACTGAAAGGCTCACCAGATGTTTTCTAAACATTGAGAGCTCATGGAGGAAATTTAGGCTGGAGATTTGGAAAAGCTTCCTCACTATGAGGACAGTTAAGCATTGGAAACAGGCCACAGAGAGAGGATGTGGCATCGCTGTCCCTAGAAATTGTCATGAGCAGGTTAGATGGACACCGGAATAGCTTACATGGAAATAATCTTCCCTTAAGCAGGGGGCTGGACTAGATAATTTCATGAGCTTCCTTCCAGCTTTACTTTCTGATAAACCTAATGCAATGCCCCAAATCTCTAACAAAATAGGAATCCAACAAGTGAGAAAATGGCAGGGTAGATGGAGAAACCAGAAACCCTTAATTCTTCTTAATAATAAAAATCCTCAAGCTCTTCTCCCTTGTTTCTTACATGCAAAAACAAACCTGTGCATACACACATACATACATATATATAAACTTGAAAGCACCAACAAGAAGAATTTTAGAACTTTGAATAGTACGAAGAAATAATTTTTACCATCCTTCATGAAAATGCTTAAACCTTAAGCAGTGCAAAAAATGTTAATACTTTTAAAACCCCAATCCTGGGGCTTCCTCCGAAAAAACAGACTTCATAAGACTATGATAGTGTCATTTTTCTGCATTACCGTTATGCAGCTGATGCCTGGATGAACTATTGGTTTCTGCCAAAATACATATCATGGAGAGGTGTGATGTCAAACAGCGATCAGCAGCAAAGGCCACTCTGGTTCCAGTTCAGCACGACTGGAGCATCCAGGGAAACTGCCTAGTGAAACGGCACCTCAGAAACAGTTGTGGCAGGGAAGCCTTTTGGCCCCAAACAAAACAATACCTTGCCGGTGCCGGGCGGTCCTGCCAACAGCACGGCTCTGCCAGCCATCTTCTTGCTTTTGATCAATTCCACTATCACGCCGCAGGCCTGAAAAAAGGAAGACACATCCATAGTTACCAGCCGGTCGGAAAAATGCCTTCAAACACATGGAATACAGAGAGGCAGCACGGTTGTTATTGCAGGGACCACCGGGAAACTGAGGCCAGGGCAGAAGTGGGGGCTGCCCCAGAGCTCACGATGTTGGGGGGGGGTGGGCAGCCTGTGTGGAAGGGGGAAGGCTGAGGGGAGGTCCATCCCATGGGGGAGGAACAGGGAGAGGCTCATCGCACGGGGGAAGGGGGAGGGCGGGATGCATCCCGC